ATCAGACCTGTAATAACAGGCTCCATGGCCCTTCTTCATCAGGTCTTTGTCTGCCATCAGGGGAGCTCCACCGGTGCAGTTTGGTTATACAGTACCAATGCACCTGACACCCAAGGAGGTGTGCAAGTTCTCGACCAAGCAGAAACCTTTGAAGAGCTGGGGTTCTTTTATGGGTTTGCATAGTGTTTTTTACAACTTTGCCGCCTTAGAGGGAGCTTCTGTTCCTTTTCACTCAGGGGAGCATTGAAGAATGTGGACCTCCCTTGATACAGCAGCAAGTCATGGATGATGCCAGATGAACTTGCTTGGCAGAACAATTTAAAGCCACACTCATCTGGTTTGTTGGCAAGCCCTTGTGGCTTCATATGAAACCACAATCTCAAACACACTGTGGTTGAAGGTGGGTAGTATCATGAGTATCATGTCACAGGACAATGTGATTTTTAGCCATATAATTGTTTAGTGTCCATATAGTACTTGTTCAGTATGAAGTTATAATTTTGAAAACTTAGTAATATTAATTTACCAGCTACTGTAATTCGGTTAAAAGGTAATCAGTTGTGATATTTGTGATTTCCACATGTTATTCTTGATTTTTACAATATTTACTAAAATTAATTCAGAAAGTTACAAAAATGAATTACTAAGGAAATTATTTCAGCATATTCTTGCTGTGCTAACACTTAATGTGATTTATCAATAGCAAGGGATAAACAAAATGGGTCAAGTGGTCTGATTTTATGGCAAATAATTAATTTTAATAACATTTAGGTTATGTTAGCATTAGCACCATAAAGGGACAAATCAACCGTTTGGTTGACCACTTTTTAAAAAAATTATTCAACAATTAATTTCACTTTTTTAATGCTGTCAAGTGACATACATCTGTTTAGTAAGTCCTCTAGCACTATCATATATCAGAAAATTCTATCTTCCTACCTTAGTTTAATCAAAAACACTCAAAATATGTTGGATGTCTTTTGGTTTCTGACTTCCTGGTTGGGAGAGGTATAAGAAGAGCCAACAGCTTCCATTCACAGTGCCTTCTGGTGGATTTTTTGGGCATTACAGATGTAAACCAATTGGTAGAAAAGACTCAACAAGATAGGTCAATTTAAGTGAAAGCCTCAGTTAGATATAGGGCCTGAAAATGTGCTCTACCAAATGGTTGACCGGAACGCTAAAGGGATTTAATCTTAATAAAAAATAGTACACGTGTATGCCTTCCTGCGCAAACAACCACACACATGCACTTCCATACTCTCACTGAGTATGCCAGTTGCTGTACTACTGGCCTGCTGTTCAATCAGTTAATGTTCATTAAAGTATATCTGGAAAGCGCTCTCTGTGCCCCACTCTCTGACTGGAATCATGGTCCTGAGGGAGCTATTACAATGGTATCCCAGAGATAACTCTAACCGCA